TTTTTCCACATGTTTCTATGGTATACTGAAAAACAATTATAAGCATATATCAAACGTTTTATGGGATTGAGATCCGGGGAGTTGCCTGGCCACGGATCCAAAATTTCAATGTAATGATCTTCGAGCCACTTCTTTATCACTCTTGCTTTGTGACATGGTGCTCCATCATGCTGGAAAATGCACGGCTCATCACCAAATTGCACATGAATCATTGGAAGAAGTCGCTCATGCAGGACGTTTTGATACCATTCTTTATTCATAGCAGTGTTTTTGGGCAGAAATATGAGAGGAGAGCCCACTCCCTTGGTTGAAAAGCAACCCCATTCATGGATGGTCTCAGGATGCTTCACTGTTGGCACGTCACAGGACTCATGGTAGCGTTCACCTTTTCTTCTCCGAACAATCGATTTTCCAGATGTCCCAAACAGTCGGAAGGGAGCTTCATCAGAGAAAATAACTTTGCACCAGTCTTCTGCTGTCCAATCCTTGTACTTCCTGCAGAATTTCAGTCTGTCCTTGAAGTTTTTCTTGGAGAGAAGTGGCTTCTTTGCTGCCCTTCTTGACACCAGGCCGTTGTCCAAAAGTCTTGGCCTCACTGTGCATGCAGATGCTCTCACACCAACCTGCTGCCATTCCTGAGCAAGCTCTGCACTGCTGGTCACACGATTCTGTAACTGACTCCTCAGGAGGAGAGGGTCCTGGTGCTTGCTGGACACTCTGGGACGTCCTGAAGACTTCTTCACTGCAGTCAAACCTCTCTCCTTGAAGTTCTTGACTAACAAGAACACAATGATTGGAAGCGCTTCTTCCCTCCTTTTATAGCAATCAGTCTGTGCTCTTACAATCGAATTAATATGATAGTGATTTGACCTGACTAGTACTCATTCACACTTTCTCATGTGCTGCTGATATTAGTCAATTAATGTTAGCTGGTCATTTTGTGTCAGGATCAAAAAACAGTGAAATTAGTTTTTTTGTGAAAAGTTCATTTTTTGGCCAATGAGGGTTTTAGCAATTATTTAAAATGCATCTGATCACTCTACACAATAATCTAGAACCAATGTGCATGAACACCACAACAGCTTAAGCAGCAAACTTTGCAAAACACAATTTATGTCACTGCCAAAACTTTTGGCCATGACTGTAGAGCTGCTTTATAGCTGAAAGTAAATTTGTTTCATAGCTGATTAACTGTGCAACACTGACAGTGTTATTTTCCTGCTTATTACTGTGAAGCTGCTTTGAAACAGTCTGTATTGTATAAAGTGCTATACAAATAAATGTGACTTCACTTGTATATTAACAGCATCCATCTCAGAGAGCAGAGGAGATGTCTGTCTGTCTGTGCAGTATTTTCTTTAGGTTTTGATTTTCTCATTGACATTTCATAAAAATCAAAACCTAAAAAAACAACAGCACAACAGTTGTGGGACTGACTGGAACTGGAGGGAAAAGAAAACTCAACTGCAGTATAATCAATGTTACGTTAAGCAAAGCAGTCAGGCGGATATCTTTTTACTTTATTAATAATTTAAGGATAATTCAGGAATGAGAAGTCCTCATACCATCGAGAAGCTCGTAGATCAACACAAAGTTGTTCTTGATGTTCTCCTCGCTGATCTTGCCGAAATAGGCAGTCATGACGTCACACATCTTATAGAGGAACTCAAACACCATGGCTGCGTTGACATTCTGCTTGGTAACGGCAGCCAGCCAGATGTTGGAGCGCTTGACGTGGAAGAAGCTGGTGCGGGCGATGTTGTTGACGGGTGAGCGTACCTGCTGGCGAGCGTGGATCACGTTCACGCGGAACGCATCCACCGCATTCCTCCTGCAGAAAGACCATCATGATGGTGTGAGATTGGTGTCGATTTATCCGAAACATAATTGTTAGATTAACCAACTAAACAGAAAAATAATAGATTATTTGCCAGAAAAAAAACAAGAGTTAGTTGCAGCCTTATCAAACAACTGGGCTGGTAACCCAAAAACTGTTCACCTAAAATCGCTCGATAGTTCTGGTATCAAAAACTCAACACTATACCTACTCAACACCTCCATCAAACTGACACCTTGTACGTGACTGATAGGACTGCTCTATTTAAATGTGTAATATTAATTCTAAAGTGAAGTGCACAAGAGATTTTTACATTTGTTTGTAATTGTTTAGCATTAGCATGTTGCCAGGCTAACCACATGATAAGCACTAAAAAACCTTCTTCAGCAAAAAAATACTTATCACATCCAAAACTTGGGTATAAGAAAAAGTCTAATGTCTGACTCTAAAAGTCTGATTTTAATTTCATTTCTGAGGGTTCATGTGCCAGCCAAGCAACTACCATTGAGATGCTGCCCTAAACAGTGTCCTATCCAGGTGCAACAAGATTCCAGTAGCAAATTTTAGATTGAAAGCAAAATGCAGCGTGAAACAAAAAGAAAAATCAGAAAAGCATTTTCTCTCTCATACTGCACAGCACAAAATGCATAGGGTACTCTAAGCGACATCTTTTAAGCAACTGACAAAATGCAACTTTTTGAGGCTGGTTAGGACAGAAACTCGGATTAACCTGGAAGAGATCTTGAGTACACCTACAATTCCTTAAAGTGGCAATAAATCAGAAGTAGCGGCAAATCTTTTCTTCCATTCTGTGATGTACATCCATACAGTCAGTGTAACAGATTAAAAAAAGAAAATGTTGAGCAAGACTTGGTTCTGTGCATTGGTTGTTGATTGGATGTTGAGATGTGAGCTTGCATGGGCAGAGTTTAAGTTAACGTCACCAGAGAGGCGTTTTTTCCCCAGAAGATTCAACTATGACATTCTGATTTAATATTACAAGGTCAAAAAATGTTAAACATATACACAAATGAACTGTAGACAGGGAGGGCTTTAATTTCATGATGACTTTAAATGCTGTCTAGGTAGGCACCTCAGTAGGTTTTGGAACCAAGCTTGTTTCCTTTATCCCTCACTGGGTTTATATATAAAAATAAGCATCATCACTTCATTTCAGCTGTCTGTTTTTACGCTACATACACTGTTTCAGCCCCTCTCGTTTTCTTCCCAGAGTTCCCTTTCCTCCAGGCACACACACTGCGACTTCATCTAATGATACAGCCCTGCATGCGTGCATGAACACACACACACACTGCGACAGTATAAGTTGGCAGCGATGTACAGACCCACTGTATCCATAGCAACCGTTCTCTGCAGAGAACATCTCTGTGGTTTTAAAGGATGCCTGGATCTTCCAGAAAGGAACTTCCAGGCAATCAGAGGCCTAACATTCTAAAATTCTAACCGTGATCTAAAATTGATCTTCATTGTATTCCACACTGCCGTTTCTCTTTACATCCCGAAGATGGAACTGGGTCACACATAAAAAACAGGTGGGTCACAACATTTGACTGCTTTTATTCATACAGAATCAAATGAAACAAACAGATCTGACAGGGTGAATAAAGAAGGAAAAGAAATGTGGAAAAGGAAGCACATCAGGAAAAATTGATATGCATGAACATGAAGGACATGTTGATGTTATAACCTAGATCTACCTCCTGTTGAAGCAATCAAAGCCCAACTTCTCCACAACCTCACATTTCCCTGACTTACCCGATGTCATCACGGTAGACACGGGAGATCAGCACCTCGCCCTTGTGGTTGTAGATGAAGAGTCCTCCGATCATGGTGGTGGTCTCACTCAGTGTTCACGGGCCATGCTGGAAAACTGAATAAAGAGGCGGAGCCCAGCTGTAAGTCACCGGATGGGGAACTCATTAAAAAATAAGGACAAAGACTTTAAATTGTATGTACACTAGTGTTGGGCGCCATGCTTAACTGTCATCCTATCATCAGTCTGTGAGATCGCCGATGCACAATATTATCGTGCTAATTTATTTAATTATTTACTTAGTTTCTTTGCCAGAACGTGAACCATGTTTTTAAAAACAACCTTACAACTGGGAAATATGTTACATTTGGAAGAACTGAGATTTATATTAAAAGATAAATTATCAATTTTCATCAAGATCTGGAAACCAATAAGACTGTTCTTACAGGCAGACTGAATATATTGCATTACATCTCTTTTTCATCACATCAGGATAAAAGATTGTATATTAACACTCTGTTGCTCATGTACAACATTCCTGATTTTAAAGCACTTGAAGTAACCTTTTACTCCTTTTGGGGGGGGGTTCTAATATAAAGCTTTAATGTTCTCGGCTCAAAAGTCATGTATTGTAGTGTTACAGCTAAGGGTGCTTGATGTCGTATGTTTCCCGTATAGTAGCTATTTTGTGACATTGTGTGTGTTGTTTCAAGAAAATTAAAATAAAGAGAAAAAAAAAACCTTACAGAAATCAAGCAAAAAAACCATAAGGAAGACAAAACAAAACACCCAATTTAAATGTGCAGACCACACCAATGGACATTCAAATATTCTTTCATTAAGTGTAAATGATCTGTGACAGACATATTAGGACAAATTATTAGCACACAATATTTGTGTTCACTTAGAAACATGTATTTATTTGAACTGAAACATAAGGATGAGTAAACGATGACAGAATTTTTATTAGCTTTTGAGTGAACTATCTGTATAAAGCTTCAAGACTGCAGAAAAACACACTAATGAACCAATCCTGCCTTCAGACTCATTTCAGTCTGTTCTGATGGATGAACGCTTAACTGTCTGACGCTTAACCCTATAAAGTCTACTGCATTATATTTGATAAGCCTTCTAAATAGTCAACATGATCAAAACTTTGATAAACTGTTGTACACAATGTATTACCATCCTTCAGTCAACTGAGTGATAGTAACTTTTTTAGCAAGTAAAATGCCTTTTATTACAAACTGTAAAAATGGCCACCTTCAGGTCATGATTTACATATCTTTTTGCTGTGAAATCTTTAATGATATTTAAAAGCAAGAATAGCTTTATATTGTTGGTAATATTTCAAGATAAACACTTACTAGACTGAAGCAACTTAGGTTTACTTGATTATCCATAATTTTGTTTTTAAATAAAAAATCAAATATGATCATCAGGCTTTTGAGGAAAGTTTATTAGTTCATCCCTCAATCATCATTGTATTGCACTGTTTTGTTTTGCCTCCACAATAAAAAAAACAGATTTAATTATAAAATTAAGCATTTAAATATTATCTCACTAAAACATATTATTGGGAGATAGAGTGACAAGTGAAATCTACAAGCCGTATAAATATCAGCATTTTTAATGATTATTTCATGTCAGGTTTTACATTCCCGGTGACTGACACACACCTCTCTGAATGACAGGAACAGAACAGCTTATGTAATTCTAAATCTTATGCAGGTGTACGTAACCTCTGCAATGAATTATGAGTGAAATTATTATTAATATACAGTCAGTCTACATAGCCTGCACACAAGATTACACAACCCACTCGACAACATAACAATAAAACCTGTCACAACAGTTCCAGCGCCCTATGAATATATTTGAATATTCATAAGAACATGATGAATATTATGATGAGGATGATGACATTTCTCAGCTCTACAGCATCCATCATGGCTGCTGATGGAAAACCAGAAGAGTTCACATGGCAATTCTGTCCCGGATTTGATAACATTTCGATTTTTTTCTTCCGATAATGATTTTTAATGAACGTGTCATTTTTCGTGATTCTCTGCCGTATCCGTCATGTCCCACTGCGACTGTCCATATCGCCCCAAAACCACTAATACATTTAAATACATGCTGTTTGCTTTCTATATCGTCGTCTCAATAAAACAGATTTTATTTAATTTAAAATATTTGTCCGAGATGGACCGAAATTGTTGACAGTAACGTTATGTGCCGCTAGCCGCAGCTTTTTCCATTCAAATGCAAAGACATAACGATTTTAAGCGTATTAAATGATGTTTTCTTTAATTATCGGCTCCCAAATACTCTATGTTATTCATTTAACACATTTCCATCAGTGACTCTAACGTAAAACGTAACGATTTTAAGCGTATTAAATGATGTTTTCTTTAATTATCGGCTCCCAAATACTCTCTGTTATTCATTTAACACATTTCCATCAGTGACTCTAACGTAAAACACCCGCGTCCGGCTGGTTAAGCTAACTAACTAGCCCAGCTCGGTTGTGTCACGACTGACCCGACGGTGGATTCCCTCACTCACCTCTGTGTGTCAGTCTCTGTGTCCCTCCGGACCGGCTCAGCAGAGGCTGCTGTGTCCGCTTCTGACCGAAGCTCTGTGTTATTCCGCGTATTCGGTGTTTTAGGCTGCGGTCACCGTTCACTCATGAATCCAAGATGTCGCCGCCGCTCCCTCTGCAGCCGTCAGCTGACACGCACGCGCGCACAGCACACATGTATTGTTCACGACCCATTGACTCGATCGGTTTTTAGCAGAAGTGCTGTTATTTGCTAAACTCAAGTTGGTTTGCTAACCTCCGCAGAAGAAAATAAGGTCATTTAGATAAAAGGGACACTTTACATGTGTCATTTGAGATGTAGGTAAGCCTTTAGCCTAGTAGCAGATAACAAACAAAAACAAAATGCTACACAGTCACAGACAGTGCTTTTATCTACGTGTTTAAGTAAAGAATAAATACGGTAATAAAAAAAAAAAAAGAGTACACTGTCATGATATTTCCTATCAATTAAATACTCGTTTAAAAAGAGCATTTTAATTATGTCAAATTAAAAGTTTTACATTTTAAATCATTTAATAAAGTAGGCGTACACTTATTTTGATGTGTTGACTAACATAAAGAACACATTGTGCTTGATTATAATTTTAACTGTAGTTTGTTACCCAATATTTTGTTTTTACTTTACATTAATTACATTTATTATATCTTAAATGTATTAAATTCCAATGTAGAAAATATATATTACACATTAAAATGTACTTAGGTGCTTCAGAAAAGCACTGTACAGTTGAACTAATTGCATTTAATATACATTTAAACTGTAATCGCTTCATTTTCATGTAATTGTAAATAACGCAATTAATTAAGTCTAAAAACTTTACATTCATTGTATTATTTTAAAGCATATAATTTTTTTCTATAATAAATTAGCCTATCTTTTTTAAAGTATGCTAAAGTGTGACTGTCATACAGCTTCATTTTCTCAAAATGCATAAAATGTTCGTGTCATAGTAAAGTGTCACACACCATTACACATATAGCTCAAACAAACATGTTTTTTTTTTCCACTATTTGTTTTCCAATCCCTAAAGTTTTAACAAAGGTAATGCAGCAGCATCAGTGTCCACACTCTGAACATTAAAATGAAAGGAGAAAGTATTTTAACAAGTTACACACACTAGCATTAAAAAAGATCGGACTGTAATGTCTCAAGAGAACAGAGCTATAACTGGATCTGACAAAATTCTTCTGTTCTAAATATGGCATCATGTGCTTAATGAATATTCAAATGTTGTGTAAATAAACTTGAAGACTGTTGGAGTGGATTTGACTCCAGATGTGTGCGTTGGGGGACCAGAAATGGAAGTTTTTCACTTGTGCGATTGATGATGCTTCATCTTGTCAAATGAAGGGTTATCATGTGTTCAGTCTGAGTTGTATATAAATTACGGCTTGTCCCTGGATCTTGCTTTGATACAGTGGAAATATAAATCATAGAACAGCTCTTCTGAGAGCCAAAGAGAATGAAATATATTCTTCTCCCTTAAACGCTGGCAGACTGTCAGAATCAGTGTGGGAAAACTTTCTTTATGAGAATAAAACAGATCCACCCATCATTTTCTACCACCTTAAATGGAGCATGAGTGGAAATTAGCTGTGACTTCCCCCCAAGCACATATATAAAATTCCCTTGTGTTTCTTGTTAAAAAGAAGTTCTTAATTGTATTGAATTTGCACTTGTACTTCATACTAAAACTCCACTTAAGTGCGTTTAAAGAGAGTACACTTTCATGCCTGTTTCTTAAAGGGGTCATATGATGCTTTTTTAAAGATCATTATTTGGTGTATTTGGTGTAACAGAATATGTTCTTGTACACTTTTAAAAAGTGCACTTTGTGATGTCAAATTACATTTTTTTTACATTGAAGTACATTTTAAACCCTTGTTTTAATAATCTTTTGTCATGCTTTAAAGAAGCACACTTATTTTGATGTGTTGACTAACATATTACATACAAGTTTCAATAGAAATAACATTAATGTATATTTTAGTTTATTATAAATGCTTGTCAGCACATTCGGCAGTATACTTTAACCATATTTCAAAGACAACTTCTGTTGTCTGTAATTATAAAATTACAAATAGCGATATACACTAAAGTTCAACTAATTGCATTTAACATAAATTTAAACCATATTTTCATTTAATTGTAAATAACATGCATTTAAGTGTCCAAAGACATCACATTCAGTTTGCACTTGAGTATGTTTTTCTAAAATATATTTTCTGTAATTAGTAATTTTGTTTTAAAAAGTGTGCTAAAGTGTACTTCTTCTTTTTTTACAAGGGGCTGTTTGCTGAAAACACATTCTTTGGTTGTACGTTTTAAGGAATTATGTAAAAAACAAATGGACTTCATTATGTTATGTCTTCATGACTGCAGAAGAATAAAAGTGATTTTCTTTTCACACAAAAACTAGAAAAGATGCACTCAGTGTTTAGGCAATAAACTATATTTATAAATAAAACAATTTGTTTTGTTTTGTCGTAAAACAGTGTACAGCGAGTATTAAATTGAACCATTCAATACTATCTGTTTCCAATAATTAAAAATGTGATAAATGCATCTGAGAAAAAAAAATGGAAGGTGTTCAGAGAAACAATGAAGCAGAGTGCTGATGGTTAATGATGACAGACATTAACATATTAAGTACTGTGTTGTTTGAGGAAGAGTGAGAGAGTGAAGAGAGCTGCTCTCCATCATATAATAATAATAATAATAGTGCATCTTTAGGTTGCTTTAGGAGTGCTGATAACATTGAAACAACATCACTGTTGCAGGTTCAGTACATGTAATACAGGTGCACTGTTACAAAGAATAACATTACAGGACTGAATATCTCCCAGTTAAGTTCTTTAAATCAACATCAAACCATAATTGACTTGATTTACTTAATAAATGTCCCTGGTCTTCTTGTGCACAATTCATCAGTTCAGGTTATTAAAACAACAAAACAGATGAAAAACATCATGCTTTAACAAGTTCATTTTAACCCCAAGAGTAAGACTTTAAAAGTCCCGTCTGTAAACTTAAAAACTCTCTCTTTTTCTCTCTCACTCTCCACCATTCTTAGCAGAAAATTAAAGCCATAAATATAAAATAATTGCCAAAGATTCTATCTTTTGATAGCATTTGTCTTTTTTAAAAAATCATTAAAAATGATTTGTTCATCCTTAAAAAGCAAAAGGTGATTTAGAAGTAAAAGATATCCTCACTTTCTTCTCATATCATGCTTTTCTCTCCTGCTTAATTTAGTTAATCTTTGATTGAAAAACATATATTGAGGTTAATAAACCAGTCAGAGGACAAAATATTAAAAAATGCAGCTAAAGTACATAAAAAGTACACAAAAACCAGCAAGCATTCACCTTCATCACTGCATCGCACAGAGTCTCCTTAAAGGGCATGATGGGATACGTGATCTGTTCCAGTCTTCTTCACTGAAGAAAGTGCAAGCCACAGGACACAGGAGGGACATTAGGAGGGACACTCAGCCACTAAAATGTCAATGCATCTCATTCTTGTCTTCCTCCTCATCTTTTTTTCTTGATTTCACAGTGCCTTGAGCATGTGAGTCGACCCTCGGGGTCACCTGAAGAACATCACATGACGTCGACGAAGAACTCACTGGGGTTCCCCATGGCCATGCGGAAAGACTGGCGCGAGGCTGTGAGTTCGGGCGGCACTGAGGCCAGGTCTCGGTCTGGAGGAGAGCCCGGCGCTGCTGTAACGAGTGGCTGTGTCTGTGGCTGTGGAGGGAGGCCGGGCGCTCCACACACCAGGCTCTGGACGCTCCGGATGGTGTGTGAGCTACGCACGCTGTGTTCGCTAGGGGGTGCCGCAGAGCACTCGCTGGGAGCCTTCTCTCTTTTCTCGGACTCGCTGCCGCTGCCGGATCGGCCTCCAGACTCTTGCGTTCCAGCCGCTGCGTTTGCGTCATTTTTACTGCCGCTTCGATTCGAGCCACTGCTTCGACTGCCTGTGAGCGAAATGAAAGAAAGGAAAAGAAAAGTGAGACTTCCTGTTTAAGTCTAATTCTTCGGTCACTTTTCAGTGTATACGCCTTGTCATTGGATCACATATAATAAGGGCAGAGAAGTTGACCACAGGATCAGAAAGAGGCATTAAAGTCACCATGAAATCAAAATGGAAAATTCTTATTGTTTAATGGAATACTGTAGTGTTTATTATAAATAATTTATCTGTGCACTTCATTTTTTTTTTTAATTCATGTGCTCTCATAATCTTTAATCAAAAACG